GGAGAGGGAAGAGGGTCGTGGGAGCTTCTTAAAGTAATTAATGGGAATACATTAGCGAAGAGGGGAGCTGCAGCGGGGAGTTCGAGGGGTCTTAATGAAGGTTTTTAATTTTGTTAATTTCATAAGGGATTTTTTTTTCTCTTTTTTTTCTGGGAGCGAAAGACAGAGGGGGAATTTTTTTTTTCTTATTTTCTTAATCTAATATAGGATGTTTTTTTGTTTTTTTTTAAAGAGACCGAATGAGACTGAGGTCAGATGTTGAGTTGTTTTGATTTTTTTTTTTACTCGTACAAAAATGTAATTATGGTGATTTTTTTAATACATTTTTTTTTCGTTACTGCCCTCTCGTCTCTCGTCTCTCGTCTCACAAGCAACCCCAGACCGCCCAGACCCAGCAACCCCCAGACCACAAACAACCCCCAGACGCAAGCAACCCCAGACCGCAAGCAACCCCAGACCACAAGCAACCCCAAACAAGCCCAGACCGCAAGCAACCCCAGACCGCAAGCAACCCCAGACCGCAAGCAACCGCAAGCAACCCCAGACCCCGATGACGGAAGCCTCAGCCCCCCCCCCCCCCGGCGTACCCGAGATGGCCCGGGGTTCTTCCGTGATCCTCTGAGACAAGCAAACTCCAGACCGCGAAAGCAACCCCAGACAGCAACTCCAGACCGCAAGCAACCCCAAGCAACCCCAGACAGCAAGCAACTCCAGACGAAGCAACCCCAGACCGCAAGCAACCCCAGACCGCAAGCAACCCCAGACCGCAAGCAACCCCAGACAATAAGACCCAGCGCAAGCAACCCCAGACCGCAAGCAACCCAGACCCAAAGCAACCCAGACCGCAAGCAACCCAGACCACAAGCAACCCCAGATCCGCAGCAACCCGACCAAGCCCCAGACCGCAAGCAACCCCAGACGCAAAGCAACCCCAGACACAAGACACCAGACAACCCCAGACCGAAGCAACCCCTGCAACCCCAGACCGCACAAGCAGACACCCAGACGCAAGGACTCAATGCAAGCAACCCCAGCCCCGATGACGGAAGCCTCACCCCAACCCGCCGTACCCACCGTGATCCTCTGACAGACCGCAAGCAAGCCCCAGACCGCAAGCAACCCAGACCACAAGCAACCCCAGACCCCGATGACGGAAGCCTCAGCCCCCCGCCGTAACCCGAGATGGCCCGGGGTTCCTCCGTGATCCTCTGAAACCCCAGATCGCAAGCAACCCCGCAAGCAACCCCCAGACAAAGCAACCCCAGACCGCAAGCAACCCCAGACCCCCGATGACGGAAGCCTCAGCCCCCCCCCCCCCCCCCGTCCCGAGATGGCCCGGGGTTCTTCCGTGATCCTCTGAACCCCAGACCCCAAGCAACCCAGACCCGCAAGCACCCCAGACCCCGATGACGGAACAGCCCAGCCCCCCGCCGTACCGAGATGGCCGGGGTTCCTCCGTGATCCTCTGAACCCAGCAGACCGCAACCGACCAAGCAACCCAGACCCACAGACAACCCCAGACCGCAAGCAACCCCCCCCGATGACGGAAGCCTCAGCCCCCCCGCCGTACCGAGATGGCCCGGGGTTCTTCCGTGATCCTCTGAACCCCAGACCGCAAGCAACCCCAGACCGCAAGCAACCCCAGACCACAAGCAACCCCAGACCGCAAGCAACCCCAGCCCCCATGACGAGATGGCCCGGGGTTTTCCGTGCCTCAGCCCCCCCGCCGTCCCGAGATGGCCCGGGGTTCTTCCGTGACCTCTGAACCCCAGAGCAAGCAAGAAACCCAGACGCAAGCAAGCCCAGACCACAAGCAACCCAAGACCAGCAAGCAAACCCCAAGCAACCCAGGCCCCGATGACGGAAGCCTCCGGGAGTTGGCCCTTCCGCTGATCCTCTGAACCCCAAGGGCGTGATTATGTTCAAGGGCGGAATCTCTGTTCATTCAGACGCTCGACTCGATGCGTGGGACGGACTGGGCGTTCCTGCTTGGGTTGTTCTTTTTATTTCGTTCTTTCTCTTTTTTGCTCTTTTTTTTGGTTCGTGTGTGCGTTCGTTTTCATTCTTTCTTGTTTGTGTGTATGCGTGTTTATTATTATTATATATTATTACTCTCACCTGTTTCTGCGTGTCTGGCTGTCTCTCGCTGTCTTTCTCTGCCTCTGTCTCCCTGTCTGTCTCCGTCTCTGTCTCTGCTGCTTTCTTCTCTCTCTCTCCCTCCTCCCCCCCCCCCCCCTCTCTCTCTCCCCTATATCATCAAATTTTTCTTCTTCCTCCTTTTATCCTTCAACCCTCTTCCCCATCCCCCTCCCTTCCACTCCCCCACCCCTCCCTACTCGCTCCGATAAAACAAAATCTCAAAAAATCAAGGACAACTTTTAACTCTTTCTTACCCAGCCCCTTGACGTGTTATTGCTCTGCACAGCAACCTCATACCGTCATCAAGGAGGGTTTGGTGGCAGTGGCTGTGGCAGTGGTCAATCAGCACCGTACACACAAC